TATTTGTTTTTTGTCCTTGCTTTAGGATTTTGTTATGCTTTTATGGATGGATTGATTTACATTGTACTAAAGCCCCGCCCACCTTAGCCCCGCCCCTCACCTGAGCAGATGACGTCCTCACTGGGTCCAGAGGGACAGGTCTTGGGTCTGGAGCGGGGACAGTCCACCAGAGCAGACTCATGGCCTTCACAGTGGAACGTCTGCCCCAGAGGAGAGAGCTCCCCCTGGAGGACAGAAGGACCCCTGCAGCCCAGCTCCCTGCACAGCACCTCTGCTCCCCGCAGGTCCAAGGCCCCTTCACAGACCGAGATCCAGGACTGGTCCCAGATCTGCAGTGATCCAGAGCAGAGACCAGAGCCTCCAACCAGCCGCACAGAGTCTGAGACAGAGAGGACTTCATCACACTCTGGACACAGAGTCTGAGACAGAGAGGTCTTCATCACACTCTGGACACAGAGTCTGAGACAGAGAGGTCTTCATCACACTCTGGACACAGAGTCTGAGACAGAGAGGTCTTCATCACACTCTGGACACAGAGTCTGAGACAGAGAGGTCTTCATCACACTCTGGACACAGAGTCTGAGACAGAGAGGTCTTCATCACACTCTGGACACAGAGTCTGAGACACAGAGGTCTTCATCACACTCTGGACACAGAGTCTGAGACAGAGAGGTCTTCATCACACTCTGGACACAGAGTCTGAGACAGAGAGGTCTTCATCACACTCTGGACACAGAGTCTGAGACAGAGAGGTCTTCATCACACTCTGGACACAGAGTCTGAGACAGAGGTCTTCATCACACTCTGGACACAGAGTCTGAGACACAGAGGTCTTCATCACACTCTGGACACAGAGTCTGAGACAGAGAGGTCTTCATCACACTCTGGACACAGAGTCTGAGACAGAGAGGTCTTCATCACACTCTGGACACAGAGTCTGAGACAGAGAGGTCTTCATCACACTCTGGACACAGAGTCTGAGACACAGAGGTCTTCATCACACTCTGGACACAGAGTCTGAGACACAGAGGTCTTCATCACACTCTGGACACAGAGTCTGAGACAGAGAGGTCTTCATCACACTCTGGACACAGAGTCTGAGACACAGAGGTCTTCATCACACTCAAACAGTGCGCCTCCTTCTGACTCACTGTCAAACCTGTGCCTCCTTCTGACTCAGTGTCAAACCTGCACCTCCTTCTGACTCAGTGTCAAAGCTGCGCCTCCTTCTGACTCAGTGTCAAAGCTGCGCCTCCTTCTGACTCAGTGTCAAAGCTGCGCCTCCTTCTGACTCAGTGTCAAAGCTGCGCCTCCTTCTGACTCAGTGTCAAAGCTGCGCCTCCTTCTGACTCAGTGTCAAAGCTGCGCCTCCTTCTGACTCAGTGTCAAAGCTGCGCCTCCTTCTGACTCACTGTCAGACCTGCGCCTCCTTCTGACTCAGTGTCAAAGCTGCGCCTCCTTCTGACTCAGTGTCAAAGCTGCGCCTCCTTCTGACTCAGTGTCAAAGCTGCGCCTCCTTCTGACTCAGTGTCAAACCTGTGCCTCCTTCTGACTCAGTGTCAAACCTGCGCCTCCTTCTGACTCAGTGTCAAAGCTGCGCCTCCTTCTGACTCAGTGTCAAAGCTGCGCCTCCTTCTGACTCAGTGTCAAAGCTGCGCCTCCTTCTGACTCACTGTCAAAGCTGCGCCTCCTTCTGACTCACTGTCAAACCTGCGCCTCCTTCTGATGATGGTGAAGTGATAAATGTTGGTGTGAAAAGGTGAGTGTGTGTTACCTGAGCACTTTGGTGTGAAAAGGTGAGTGTGTGTTACCTGAGCACTTTGGTGTGAAAAGGTGAGTGTGTTACCTGAGAACTTTGGTGTGAAAAGGTGAGCGTGTCTTACCTGAGCACTTTGGTGTGAAAAGGTGAGTGTGTGTTACCTGAGCACTTTGGTGTGAAAAGGTGAGTGTGTGTTACCTGAGCACTTTGGTGTGAAAAGGTGAGTGTGTCTTACCTGAGCACTTTGGTGTGAAAAGGTGAGAGTGTGTTACCTGAGCACTTTGGTGTGAAAAGGTGAGTGTGTTACCTGAGCACTTTGGTGTGAAAAGGTGAGCGTGTGTTACCTGAGCACTTTGGTGTGAAAAGGTGAGTGTGTGTTACCTGAGCACTTTGGTGTGAAAAGGTGAGTGTGTGTTACCTGAGCACTTTGGTGTGAAAAGGTGAGTGTGTGTTACCTGAGCACTTTGGTGTGAAAAGGTGAGTGTGTGTTACCTGAGCACTTGAGATGAAGACTTTGATCAGAGTCAGATGTTTCTTTACTAAAACAGTCGATCAGTTCTGGTTCATCACAGTCACGTTTGACTTTCACAGTTTTTCGTTCTTGAACTGTTTTTCTCTCCAGAGACAGAGCAGAGCCACAGTCCAGCTCAGAGCAGAGTCTGGATCCAAACTCCAGAGGAACAGAGACATAATAGTCTGAGTCTGGACCCAGTGGAGTCCAGTCCAGACCTGGTCTCTGCAGCTGCACCTCCCCCTGACAGCGACTGGCTCCTCCCTCCAGCCTCAGACTGTAAGACCCTGGAACAGGAGACACTGTCAGTGTGTGTGTGTGTGTGTGTGTGTGTGTGTGTGTGTGTGTGTGTGTGTGTGTATATGTGTGTGTGTGTGTGTGTCTGTGTGTGTGTGTGTGTCAGTGTGTGTGTGTGTGTGTGTGTGTGTGTGTGTGTGTGTGTGTGTGTGTGTGTCTGTGTGTGTGTGTGTGTGTCTGTGTGTATGTGTGCGAGTGTGTGTGTGTGTGTGTGTGTGGGTGTGTCTGTGTGCGTGTGGGTGTGTCTGTGTGTGTGTGTGTGTGTGTGTGTGTGTGTGTGTGTCTATGTGTGTGTCACCTGGTGAATTGTGTGTGTGTGATACTTGACGATTAGTGTTTGTGTTACCTGACGAATTGTGTGTGTCTCCCAGGACCCCTGCACACAGAGAAGTTGTGTTACAAAATGTCGACTGTGGGTCATGACACAGGGCGACACACAACTGAGGAACACTGAAAAACAAAAGAGAGACCAGAGAGAGACCAGAGAGAGACCAGAGAGAGACCAGAGAGAGACCAGAGAGAGAGACCAGAGGGAGACCAGACAGACCAGAGAGAGAGACCAGAGAGAGAGACCAGAAGGAGACCAGAGAGAGACCAGAGAGAGACCATGAAGAGACCAGAGAGAGGGACCAGAGAGAGAGACCAGAGAGAGAGACCAGAGAGAGAGACCAGAGGGAGACCAGAGGGAGACCAGAGAGAGACCAGAGAGAGACCATGAAGAGACCAGAGAAAGACCAGAGAGACTAAAGAGAGACCAGGGAGAGACAAGAGAGAGACCAGAGAGAGAGACTAGAGAGAGACTAGAGAGAGACCAGAGAGAGTCCAGAGAGAGACCAGAGAGAGACCAGAGATAGAAAGGCCGAAGAGAGACCAGAGAGACACCAGAGAGAGACCAGAGAGACTAAAGAGAGACCAGAGAGAGACCAGATAGAGACCAGAGAGAGACCAGAGGGAGACCAGACGGACCAGAGAGAGAGACCAGAGAGAGAGACCAGAAGGAGACCAGAGAGAGACCAGAGAGAGACCATGAAGAGGCCAGAGAGAGAGACCAGAGAGAGAGACCAGAGAGAGAGACCAGAGAGAGAGACCAGAGAGAGAGACCAGAGAGAGAGACCAGAGAGAGAGACCAGAGAGAGAGACCAGAGAGAGACCAGAGGGAGACCAGAGAGAGACCATGAAGAGACCAGAGAGAGACCAGAGAGACTAAAGAGAGACCAGGGAGAGACCAGAGAGAGACCAGAGAGAGACAAGAGAGAGACCAGAGAGAGACCAGAGAGAGAGAGAGAGAGAGAGAGACCAGAGAGAGACAAGAGAGAGACCAGAGAGAGACCAGAGAGAGAGACCAGAGAGAGAGACTAAAGAAAGACCAGAGAGACACCAGAGAGACACCAGAGAGAGACCAGAGAGAGAGACCAGAGAGAGACCAGAGAGAGAGACCAGAGACCAGAGAGAGAGACCAGAGAGAGAGACCAGAGAGAGAGACTAAAGAAAGACCAGAGAGACACCAGAGAGAGACCAGAGAGAGACCAGAGAGACACCAGAGAGACACCATGAAGAGACCAGAGAGAGACCAGAGAGAGACCAGAGAGGACTTCAGAGAGAGACCAGAGAGAGACCAAAGAGAGAGACCAGAGAGAGAGACCAGAGGGAGACCAGAGAGAGACCATGAAGAGACCAGAGAGAGATCAGAGAGAGAGAAACCAGAGGGAGACCAAAGAGAGACCAGAGAGAGACCAGAAAGAGGGACCAGAGGGAGACCAGAGAGAGACCAGAGAGAGTCCAGAGAGAGACCAGAGAGACACCAGAGATAGAAAGACCGAAGAGAGACCAGAGAGACACCAGAGAGAGACCAGAGAGACTAAAGAGAGACCAGAGAGAGACCAGATAGAGACCAGAGAGAGACCAGAGAGAGACTAGAGAGAGAGACCAAAGAGAGACTAGAGAGAGAGACCAGAGAGAGAGACCAGAGAGAGAGACCAGAGAGAGACCAGAGAGAGACCAGAGAGAGACCAGAGAGAGACCAGAGAGAAACCAGAGAGAGACCAGAGAGAGACCAGAGGAAGACGAGAGAGACTAAAGATAGACCAGAGAGACCAGAGATAGACCAGAGAGAGACCAGAAAGAAACCAGAGAGAGAGGCCAGAGAGAGAGACCAGAGAGAGACCAGAGAGAGACCAGAGAGAGATCAGAGAGAGAGAAACCAGAGGGAGACCAAAGAGAGACCAGAGAAAGACCAGAAAGAGAGACCAGAGGGAGACCAGAGAGAGACCAGAGAGACTAAAGAGAGACCAGAGAGAGACCAGCGAGAGACCAGAGAGGGACCAGAGAGACTAAAGAGAGACCAGGGAGAGACCAGAGAGAGACTAGAGAGAGACCAGAGAGAGAGACCAGAGAGAGAGACCAGAGGGAGACCAGAGAGACCAGAGAGAGACCAGAGAGAGACCAGAGAGAGACCAGAGAGAGACCAGAGAGAGACCAGAGAGAGACCAGAAAGAGACCAGAGAGAGACCAGAGAGAGACCAGAGAGACACCAGAGAGAGACCAGAGAGAGACCAGAGAGAGACCAGAGAGTGAGCAGAGAGAGACCAGAGAGAGACCAGAGAGAGACCAGAGAGAGACCAGAGAGAGACCAGAGAGAGTGAAACCAGAGGGAGACCAAAGAGAGACCAGAGAGAGACCAGAGAGAGACCAGACAGAGACCAGAGAGAGACCAGAGAGTGACCAGAGAGAGACCAGAGGGAGACCAGAGAGACACCAGAGAGAGACCAGAGAGAGACCAGAGAGAAACCAGAGAGAGACCAGAGAGAGACCAGAGATAGAAAGACCAGAGGGAGACCAGAGAGAGAAAGACCGAAGAGAGACCAGAGAGACACCAGAGAGAGACCAGAGAGACTAAAGAGAGACCAGAGAGAGACCAGATAGAGACCAGAGAGAGACCAGAGAGAGACTAGAGAGAGAGACCAAAGAGAGACCAGAGAGAGACCAGAGAGAGAGACCAGAGAGACCAGAGAGAGGCCAGAGAGAGACCAGAGAGAGAGACCAGAGAGAGACCAGAGAGAGACCAGAGAGAAACCAGAGAGAGACCAGAGATAGACCAGAGGAAGACGAGAGAGACTAAAGAGAGACCAGAGAGAGACCAGATAGAGACCAGAGAGAGTGACCAGAGAGAGACCAGACAGAGACCAGAGAGAGACCAAAGAGAGACCAGAGAGAGACCAGAGAGAGTGACCAGAGAGAGACCAGACAGAGACCAGAGAGAGACCAGAGAGTGACCAGAGAGAGATCAGAGAGAGACCAGAGAGAGTCCAGAGAGAGTCCAGATAGAGACCAGAGAGAGACCAGAGAGAGACTAGAGAGAGAGACCAAAGAGAGACCAGAGAGAGACCAGAGAGAGAGACCAGAGAGACCAGAGAGAGGCCAGAGAGAGACCAGAGAGAGAGACCAGAGAGAGACCAGATAGAGACCAGAGAGAGACCAGAGAGAGACTAGAGAGAGAGACCAAAGAGAGACCAGAGAGAGACCAGAGAGAGAGACCAGAGAGACCAGAGAGAGGCCAGAGAGAGACCAGAGAGAGAGACCAGAGAGAGACCAGAGAGAGACCAGAGAGAAACCAGAGAGAGACCAGAGATAGACCAGAGGAGACGAGAGAGACTAAAGAGAGACCAGAGAGAGACTAGAGAGGGACCAGAGAGAGTGACCAGAGAGAGACCAGACAGAGACCAGAGAGAGACCAAAGAGAGACCAGAGAGAGACCAGAGAGAGTGACCAGAGAGAGACCAGACAGAGACCAGAGAGAGACCAGAGAGTGACCAGAGAGAGACCAGAGAGAGACCAGAGAGAGTCCAGAGAGAGTCCAGAGAGAGACCAGAGAGAGACCAGAGATAGAAAGACCAGAGAGAGACCAGAGAGAGTCCAGAGAGAGACCAGAGAGAGACCAGAGAGAGACCAGAGGGAGACCAGAGAGACACCAGAGAGAGACCAGAGAAAGACCAGAGAGACCAGAGAGACCAGAGAGAGACCAGAGCGAGAGAGACTAGAGAGACACCAGAGAGAGAGACTAGAGAGAGACCAGAGAGAGAGACTAGAGAGAGACCAGAGAGAGAGACTAGAGAGAGACCAGAGAGAGACCAGAGAGAGACCAGAGAGAGACCAGAGAGAGACCAGAGAGAGACCAGAGAGAGACCAGAGAGAGACTAGAGAGAGACTAGAGAGAGACCAGAGAGAGACCAGAGAGAGACCAGAGAGAGACCAGAGAGAGAGACTAGAGAGAGACCAGAGAGAGACCAGAGAGAGACCAGAGAGAGAGACTAGAGAGAGACCAGAGAGAGACCAGAGAGAGACCAGAGAGAGAGACCAGAGGGAGACCAAAGAGAGACCAGAGAGAGATCAGAGAGAGACCAGAGAGAGAGACCAGAGGGAGACCAGAGAGAGACCAGAGAGAGACCAGAGAGAGACCAGCGAGAGACCAGAGAGAGACCAGAGAGAGACCAGAGAGAGGCAGAAACCAGAGGGAGACCAGAGAGAGACCAGAGAGATATCAGACAGATCCCAGAGAGATAGAAACCAGAGGGAGACCAAAGAGAGACCAAAGAGAGACCAGAGAGAGACCAGAGAGAGACCAGAGAGAGACCAGAGAGAGACCAGAGAGAGACCAGAGAGAGACCAGAGAGAGACCAGAGAGAGAGACCAGAGAGAGACCAGAGAGAGACCAGAGAGAGACCAGAGAGAGACCAAAGAGAGACCAAAGAGAGACCAAAGAGAGACCAGAGAGAGACCAGAGAGAGACCAGAGAGAGACCAGAGAGAGACCAGAGAGAGACCAGAGAGAGACCAGAGAGAGACCAGAGAGACACCAGAGAGAAACCAGAGAGAGAACAGAGAGAGACCAGAGAGAGACCAGAGAGACACCAGAGATAGAAAGACCAGCGGAAGACCAGAGAGAGAAAGACCGAAGAGAGACCAGAGAGAGACAGAGAGACTAAAGAGAGACCAGAGCGAGACGAGAGAGAGACCAGAGAGAGACCAGGGAGAGACCAGAGAGAGACCAGAAAGAAACCAGAGAGAGACCAGAGAGAAAGACACCAGAGAGAGACCAGAAAGAAACCAGAGAGAGACCTGAGAGACTTGAGAGAGACCAGAGAGAGACCAGAGAGAGAACAGAGGGAGACCAGAGAGAGACCAGAGAGAGACCAGAGAGAGACCAGAGAGAGACCAGAGAGAGACCAGAGAGAGACCAGAGAGAGACCAGAGAGAGACCAGAGAGAGACCAGAGAAAGTCCAGAGCCCATTCCTCCTTCACTTTCTCTCATTCTGACTGATATGTTTCACAGTCTCTGCTGTCTCCATGGAGACGGCCCCCACCGCCTCCTCTCCTCCTCTGCAGCTCTGAGGCTAAAGCTCGGGGACCTAAATCACCAACAAACAAGGATCTACAAGGTTTACTTTGATTGTTTTTAATCTATTTATTCAAAGCCGACAATAAAAACCTTGTCACATAAAGAGGCAGATTAAAGGGTCTTCAGCTTCAACACAATGTTTTCTAAAATCTACACTTTTTAAAAAGCTCTGGTTCAGAAGCAACTTCTCTGTTTACGTTTGAACCAAACAAAAAGTCTGAAAAATAGAACAAGAGAATTCAAACACTTACCCAGACAGCAAAGGGACAGAAGCAGGACTCTGATGTCCATGGTCTGGACCAGGACTGGACCAGGTCCGAACCAGGTCTGAACCAGGTCTGAAGCAGGTCTGAAGCAGGTCTGAAGCAGGTCTGAACCAGGTCTGAAGCAGGTCTGAAGCAGGTCTGAAGCAGGTCTGAAGCAGGTCTGAAGCAGGTGTGAAGCAGGTCTGAACCAGGACTAAACCAGGACTAAACCAGGACTAAACCAGGACTAAACCAGGACTAAACCAGGACTGAAGCCGGTCTAAACCAGGACTAGGTCTGGTCTGGGTCTGGTCTCACTGATCGCTGTCTCTTGAACATCTCGTCATCGTCACTTTTTCTGAAGACGGAAATGTTTTAATCTGATGTAAACGTTTCCACGAACTGCTCAGTCTCTTCCATTTAAAGCTCGGGTCTCTAACTTCTCTGTTTCCATAGTAACAGGTCGTTGGTCCGACAGAAAGGGTCTCTGGTCTCAAACCCAGAGCACAGGGCCTTCTCTGTGGTCTCAAACCCAGAGCACAGGGCCTTCTCTGTGGTCTTAAACCCAGAGCACAGGGCCTTCTCTGTGGTCTTAAACCCAGAGCACAGGACCTTCTCTTTAGTCTTAAACCCAGAGCACAGGGCCTTCTCTGTGGTCTTAAACCCAGAGCACAGGGCCTTCTCTGTGGTCTTAAACCCAGAGCACAGGGCCTTCTCTGTGGTCCTAAACCCAGAGCACAGGGCCTTCTCTGTGGTCTTAAACCCAGAGCACAGGGCCTTCTCTGTGGTCTTAAACCCAGAGCACAGGGCCTTCTCTGTGGTCTTAAACCCAGAGCACAGGGCCTTCTCTGTGGTCTTAAACCCAGAGCACAGGGCCTTCTCTGTGGTCTTAAACCCAGAGCACAGGGCCTTCTCTGTGGTCTTAAACCCAGAGCACAGGGCCTTCTCTGTGGTCTAAAACCCAGAGCACAGGGCCTTCTCTGTGGTCTTAAACCCAGAGCAGAGGGCCCTCTCTGTGGTCTTAAACCCAGAGCACAGGGCCTTCTCTGTGGTCTTAAACCCAGAGCACAGGGCCTTCTCTATGGTCTTAAACCCAGAGCACAGGGCCTTCTCTGTGGTCTTAAACCCAGAGCATAGGGCCTTCTCTGTGGTCTTAAACCCAGAGCACAGGGCCTTCTCTGTGGTCTTAAACCCAGAGCACAGGGCCTTCTCTGTGGTCTTAAGCCCAGAGCACAGGGCCTTCTCTGTGGTCTTAAACCCAGAGCATAGGGCCTTCTCTGTGGTCTTAAACCCAGAGCACAGGGTCTTCTCTGTGGTCTTAAACCCAGAGCACAGGGCCTTCTCTGTGGTCTCAAACCCAGAGCACAGGGCCTTTACTGTGGTCTCAAACCCAGAGCACAGGGCCTTCTCTGTGGTCTTAAACCCAGAGCACAGGGCCTTCTCTCCGGCGTCTTAAACCGAGAGCACAGGGCCTTCTCTGTGGTCTTAAACCCAGAGCACAGGGCCTTCTCTGTGGTCTTAAACCCAGAGCACAGGGCCTTCTTTGTGGTCTTAAACCCAGAGCACAGGGCCTCTGTGGTCTCAAACCCAGAGCACAGGGCCTTCTCTGTGGTCTCAAACCCAGAGCACAGGGCCTTCTCTGTGGTCTTAAACCTAGAGCACAGGGCCTTCTCTGTGGTCTTAAACCCAGAGCACAGGGCCTTCTCTGTGGTCTTAAACCCAGAGCACAGGGCCTTCTCTGTGGTCTTAAACCCAGAGCACAGGGCCTTCTCTGTGGTCTTAAACCCAGAGCACAGGGCCTTCTCTGTGGTCTTGAATCCAGAGCACAGGGCCTTCTCTGTGGTCTTAAACCCAGAGCACAGGGCCTTCTCTGTGGTCTTAAACCCAGAGCACAGACGATAGTCACTCAAAATATTTGTGTGTGTGTGTGTGTGTGTGTGTAAGTGTGCGCTTCTTGTGCGCGTGCGCGTTTGTTGGGGTGTGCAGACGGTGAGGACTTCCCCAGACAGAGGTAGTGGGGCTGGGGTTAAAATTAAACCTGTATAGGGGTGGGAGAACCAGACTGTCTGACCTGTCTCCCCGGAAAAGAGCTCTCAAAACTGGGCTTTGAGTGGACCGTTCACAGCCTAAGAACCAGGGGTCCTTTTCTACCAGTCTCCAGCGTTCTGGGCAGTGTTCTGGACAGTGTTCTGGACAGTGTTCTGGACAGTGTTCTGGACAGCGTTCTGGACAGCGTTCTGGGCAGTGTTCTGGACAGTGTTCTGGACAGCGTTCTGGGCAGTGTTCTGGACAGTGTTCTGGACAGTGTTCTGGACAGCGTTCTGGACAGCGTTCTGGACAGCGTTCTGGACAGCGTTCTGGACAGTGTTCTGGGCAGCGTTCTGGACAGCGTTCTGGACAGCGTTCTGGACAGCGTTCTGGACAGCGTTCTGGACAGTGTTCTGGGCAGTGTTCTGGGCAGTGTTCTGGGCAGTGTTCTGGGCAGCGTTCTGGGCAGGGTTCTGGACAGCGTTCTGGACAGCGTTCTGGACAGCGTTCTGGACAGCGTTCTGGACAGCGTTCTGGACAGCGTTCTGGGCAACGTTCTGGGCAGCGTTCTGGGCAGCGTTCTGGACAACGTTCTGGACAGCGTTCTGGGCAGCGTTCTGGACAGCGTTCTGGACAGCGTTCTGGACAGTGTGCTGGGCAGCGTTCTGGACAGCTTTCTGGACAGTGTTCTGGGCCGTGTTCTGGGCAGCGTTCTGGGCAGCGTTCTGGACAGTGTTCTGGACAGTGTTCTGGGTAGCGTTCTGGACAGTGTTCTGGACAGTGTTCTGGACAGTGTTCTGGGAAGCGTTCTGGGCAGGGTTCTGGACAGTGTTCTGGACAGTGTTCTGGACAGCGTTCTGGGCAGCGTTCTGGACAGTGTTCTGGGCAGCGTTCTGGACAGCGTTCTGGACAGCGTTCTGGACAGTGTTCTGGACAGCGTTCTGGACAGTGTTCTGGGCAGTGTTCTGGGCAGCGTTCTGGACAGTGTTCTGGACAGTGTTCTGGGCAGCGTTCTGGAGAGCGTTCTGGACAGCGTTCTGGGCAGCGTTCTGGACAGCGTTCTGGACAGCGTTCTGGACAGCGTTCTGGACAGTGTTCTGGACAGTGTTCTGGACAGTGTTCAGGTCTGAAGCAGGTCTGAACCAGGTCTGAACCAGGTCTGAAGCAGGTCTGAAGCAGGTCCGAAGCAGGTGTGAAGCAGGTCTGAAGCCCATCTAAACCAGGACTAAACCAGGACGAAACCAGTTCACCTTGGAGAGACCCATGAGGAAAACGCATTAGACTTATTGATTTAAGCATGTTTATTGATTGAGCATGTTTGGCGCCCTAGGCCCGGGCGGGATGCTGTTGAGCACGGCGCTTGCTCGCGTGCATGATCCCCCCGGGGCCTAGGCACTGGTGACGGCAGAGGCAGTAGGCAAGCACGCTTCATGCGAGAAGGAGGAGGTGGGGCGGCGGCGGCTTGCAGACTTCAGAAGATCGGGAAGTGGGCGTCTCCGGCTTTTAACTTGCTGTCCTGGTGGTTATTGGTTGACTGGGTGTGGGCGTTGCTGGTATTGATGAGTCGAGGAAGAGCAGCCTGTGGCCTGGCAGCAACAGCCGGGTCTACCACCACGGTGAACTTTCGCGAAAGCTCCATTTCACCTTGGAGAGACCCATGAGGAAAACGCATTAGACTTATTGATTTAAGCATGTTTATTGATTGAGCATGTTTGGCGCCCTAGGCCCGGGCGGGATGCTGTTGAGCACGGCGCTTGCTCGCGTGCATGATCCCCAAAAAGCGGGCCTGCGATTGGGATAGCAGGACGCACTGCGCGGGCCTGAGAGCATGAGCGAGCTGAGAACATGCGCGCACGCGCATGTTCAGCCAGCCGCTGTAGCAGAGGAATCTTTGAGCGACTGAGAACATGCGCGCACGCGCATGCTCAGCCAGCCGCAGCAGAGGAATCTTTGAGCGAACTGAGAACATGCGCGCACGCGCATGCTCAGCCAGCCGCAGCAGAGGAATCTTTGAGCGAACTGAGAACATGCGCGCACGCGCATGCTCAGCCAGCCGCAGCAGAGGAATCTTTGAGCGAACTGAGAACATGCGCGCACGCGCATGTTCAGCCAGCCGCAGCAGAGGAATCTTTGAGCGAACTGAGAACATGCGCGCACGCGCATGTTCAGCCAGCCGCAGCAGAGGAATCTTTGAGCGAACTGAGAACATGCGCGCACGCGCATGTTCAGCCAGCCGCAGCAGAGGAATCTTTGAGCGAACTGAGAACATGCGCGCACGCGCATGTTCAGCCAGCCGCAGCAGAGGAATCTTTGAGCGAACTGAGAACATGCGCGCACGCGCATGTTCAGCCAGCCGCAGCAGAGGAATCTTTGAGCGAACTGAGAACATGCGCGCACGCGCATGTTCAGCCAGCCGCAGCAGAGGAATCTTTGAGCGAACTGAGAACATGCGCGCACGCGCATGTTCAGCCAGCCGCAGCAGGGGAATCTTTGAGCGAGCTGAGAATATGAGCGCACGCTCATATTCAGCCAGACGCTGAAGCAAGGAATCTTTGAGCGTTTGAGGAAAGTGCGTGCCGCCACCAGAATCTTATTGCTTACTTGCTTTGCTGGGAGCTTACGAGGAAGCCGGTAGACGTTGTGCTGCCATGATAGCGGTCGCATCTGGCCTGATGTAGGTGGAGAAGCCGAAGAGGACCAGCGCCCCAGCTGTTGCAGAGGAAGAGTGGGGGAGCCCCAGCGAGATCGCGCGCGTGGCAGCGCCTATCCTGAAGGAGTGGGCTGTATAGAGCTGGGGAGACAAATTGCAGAGGAGCAGTAGGGATCTTAGCTGAGCTCTGAACCAGGTTGCTGTTATGGGAAGGTTGACTGGAGTGAGAATTAGAGGTCCGTTAAAATCTCCTTTTTGCCGCGGAGGCGAGTGTAACGCATCATGGACCTGTAGGGGCAGAGAGATGTGTCGAAGCGAGCTATTATTGTGTTGCAGGCGCCTCTGATCTTCGAATGTTTGAGATGAAGGTTGAATGGTCAGGGGACATTATGTTGGGTGAGAAGAGCGACCTTTGTTTAATGCTTCCACTACGTCGAGATGATCACGCATGACAGAGATCCTCTTTCTCTGCCACGTGTGATTCCGCAGCGCGCAGGCCACGACCACTGGGAATGTCTCGTGTAGGGCAGAGGAAATGCTCCGGGGAAAGTAGCGGGCCACGGCCGGCGAACCACTGGTCCTGGAAGAATCCCCCAAAAACCCACGGAAGGGGCAGCGTCCGTGTAGAAGCGGAGACCTGTAGGGGCAGAGAGACACACCGGAGAGGGCCATTGATGTTGCAGGCGCCCTTACGCTTAGAATCTTGGGTTGGAGAGTAGATAATTAGGCCAGTAGAATAGGACGGGAAAAGCCGTGTCTCGGACCGCATAGAAGGTTGAGTGAGCAGTGGTGAAACGCTTATGCAGAGAAGCCACAGAAGGCGAGCAGAAGATGCTGCGAGGAGGGCAGACATGTACTGGAAGATGAGCCGGAGTTCAGTGCCGCTCAGAGCTGCTGCAGGATGGGCAGCATGATGGGGAGCCTGCGATCAGAAGAGTGAAGAACCAGGTATGGATGCCTTTGATTAGGAGTCCGATTGACGGCTCAGCGCAGCTACTTGGCCAGCTGCATCTGATAGAATCAGAAGATTCAGTAGAGAGATGAAGCACGACCGCCGAAGCGACCCTGGGAGCATAGGTGCGAGTCCGGCGCAGCGCGGCATACTCAGCCGGGCTGCATCCATTAGAAGCAGGATAAGCTTCTGAGAGAATGGGTTGCAGTAGCAGTAGCAGCAGCGGCAGCAGCAGTAGCCTCAGATAATAACAGCAAAAGTCCTGTATCAAGCCGCGGCAGCAGCAGTAGCAGCAGCAGCAGCAGCAGCAGCAGCGTCCTTAGAAAATAACAGTAATAGTTCTGTATCAAAGCCACAGCAGTAGAATGTTGTTGTAGCTGTTCAGGGTTTCAGTAAAAGAGATGCGAAGTGAAGAGAGATGGCAAAGTAAATGAAGCAGCAGCAGCAGTAGTAGCCGTATGAAGCAGCAGCAGTAGCAGTATGAAGCAGCAGCAGCAGTAGCAGTATGAAGCAGCAGCAGCAGTAGCAGTATGAAGCAGCAGCGGTTGCAGCATCCGTAGATAATAACAGCAATAATCCTGTATCAAAGCCAGAGCAGTAGAATATTGTTGTAGCTGTTTAGTGTTTCAGTAAAAGAGATGCGAAGTGAAGAGAGATGTCAAAGTACATGAAGCAGCAGCAGCACGGCAGCAGATGCAGTATGAAGCAGCAGCGGCAGCAGTAGCAGCAGTAACGGTAGCAGCATGAAGCAGCAGCAGCAGCAGCTGCAGCATCCGTAGATAATAACAGCAATAATCCTGTATCAAGCCACCGCAGTAGAATATAGTTGAAGCTGTTTAGTGTTTCAGTAAAAGAGATGCGCAGTGAAGAAGGTGTCAAAGTAAAGAAGCAGCAGCAGCACGGAAGCGGTAGCAGTATGAAGCAGCAGCGGCAGCAATAGCAGCAGTAGCGGCAGCAGAAGCAGCAAGCAGCAGCAGCACAATGCGATTCATACGAACAACAGACGTGTCACGCCAGTGTGCGCCGCTTGTCTCCGTGAGCCAGGTTACGTACGTGTCTGAAGAGCCGAGCCGTAGAGACAGGTGCAGCCTAGGAGCCTGCGGAGCGGCAGCGGCAGGAACAGCAGCAGCGGCACATGTAGTAGTAGGAGCAGCAGGAGCAGGCAGCCGGGACAGGCAGCAGCAGGAATAGGCAGCAGCGGGATCAGGCATCAGTAGGAACGGCAGCAGGGACCGCAGCAGCGGCGGTCAGAGAACCATGCCCACGGTTGTTTAAGAGCCTGAGGAAATAAATCAACCCGAATCCGAAACATTCCCATGCGAGAACCAGATGTCCCCTGGAGCCATCTTGCTGCTTTGATTATGGTAGAACGCATGAACGATCACTGATCCATGCGTTCATTAGCTCCAACACCACTTCAAACCCATTGCAGATTCACATTGGGCCCTTTTTCTTTCTGCTGCACTTTCGAAATGCAACAGCTGCAGTTTAGTTACCAATTTAATACTAGTGACCTAGCTATTTAAATGCATGGCCCCTCTTTCCTCCTGCAGATAGACGAATTTAAATACATTCATTTAACAATAGTGACTTGCGAGTAATGAGATTGATGCTGTAAAGATGGCGCCGTGCAAGAGCTCTGTGTGTGCCGTCTGGAGCACGATGGGGTAGTCTTTGCACATTTTTTTCCAACGTGGTTTTACTGCAAGTGGCAGAACATGAATCTGAATTAATGCACATTGCTCCTCTTATATCCCTCAGACATTGGAGATTGATGCCATTTAAGATGCATTGTCCCTCAGTTAGCTCAAACACGTGTAAAACAGAGCCTGCAGACCAAGCACGGGGCGAAAACTGACGCCTGCAGTCAAGTGCGTAGGGCAAAAACCGGCCGCCTGCAGCCTAGACTCCGGGATTAAACTGTCCGCGGTCGGCACGCTCACTGTACTCACATGCCGGAAACTTGGGAAGCAACGGGACAACGCGGCACCGCCAATCGGAGGCAGGGACACGCACGGCACCGCCAGACCGTCTGCGCGCGGCAGCAGACCACGAGGAACGAGCAGCACAGAACCGCGGAGGGGCCCCGCGGAGCAGCCCGCAGAAGAGCCCGCAGAGGAGGAGAGCAGTGGGGATATGCGAACCACAGCAGGTGCAGGGACGTGGAAGAGGAGCAGACCACGAGCAGCCAGACTGAGGACAGCCGGGCCACGCGCACGAGCAACACGTGAGCAGAAGCGACCCCTCCAGAACCACGCATGCATTTGCGAACAGGTGCGTTAGCGACATGCACCTTGCAGACTTCAGAAGTTTGCAGACTTCAGAAGATCGGGAAGTGGGCGTCTCCGGCTTTTAACTTGCTGTCCTGGTGGTTATTGGTTGACTGGGTGTGGGCGTTGCTGGTATTGATGAGTCGAGGAAGAGCAGCCTGTGGCCTGGCAGCAACAGCCGGGTCTACCACGGTGAACTTTCGCGAAAGCTCCATGACTGAAGCCGGTCTAAACCAGGACTTGGTCTGGTCTGGGTCTGGTCTCACTGATCGCTGTCTCTTGAACATGTTCTTATCTCATCATCGTCACTTTTTCTGAAGACGGAAATGTTTTAATCTGATGTAAACGTTTCCACGAACTGCTCATTCTCTTCCATTTAAAGCTCGGGTCTCTAACTTCTCTGTTTCCATAGTAACAGGTCGTTGGTCCGACAGAAAGGGCCTCGTAAATGTGAAATGTTTGAACAAATCAGACCAGAGAGAGAGACCAGAGAGAGACCAGAGAGAGAGACTAGAGAGAGACCAGAGAGAGACCAGAGAGAGAGACTAGAGAGAGACTAGAGAGAGACCAGAGAGAGACCAGAGAGAGACCAGAGAGAGACCAGAGAGAGAGAACAGAGAGAGACCAGAGAGAGACGAGAGAGAGAGACCAGAGAGAGACCAGAGAGAGAGACCAGAGAGAGAGACCAGAGAGAGAGACTGAAGAGAGAGACTAGAGAGAGACCAGAGAGAGACCAGAGAGAGAGACTAGAGAGAGACCAGAGAGAGACCAGAGAGAGAGACCAGAGAGAGAGACCAGAGAGAGAACAGAGAGAGACCAGAGAGAGGGACCAGAGAGAGACCAGAGAGAGAGACTAGAGAGAGACCAGAGAGAGACCAGAGAGAGACCAGAGAGAACCCAGAGAGAGACCAGAGAGAGAGACTAGAGAGAGACCAGAGAGAGAGACCAGAGCGAGACCAGAGAGAGACCAGAGAGAGACCAGAGAGAGACCAGAGAGAGAGACTAGAGAGAGACCAGAGAGAGAGACCAGAGCGAGACCAGAGAGAGACCAGAGAGAGACCAGAGAGAGAGAGAGACCAGAGAGAGAGACTAGAGAGAGACCAGAGAGAGAGACCAGAGCGAGACCAGAGAGAGACCAGAGAGAGACCAGAGAGAGACCAGAGAGAGACCAGAGAGAGAGAGACCAGAGAGAGACCAGAGAGAGAGAGACCAGAGAGAGAGACCAGAGAGAGAGACCAGAGAGAGACCAGAGAGAGACCAGAGAGAGACCAGAGAGAGAGACCAGAGAGAGAGACCAGAGAGAGACAAGAGAGAGACAGAGAGAGAGACCAGAGAGAGACCAGAGAGAGAGACTAGAGAGAGAGACCAGAGAGAGACCAGAGAGAGACCAGAGAGAGAGACCAGAGAGGGACCAGAGAGAGGCCAGAGGGAGACCAGAGAGAGACCAGAGAGAGACCAGAGAGAGAGACCAGAGAGAGACCAGAGAGAGACCAGAGAGAGACCAGAGAGAGAGACCAGAGAGAGACCAGAGAGGGACCAGAGAGAGAGACCAGAGAGAGACCAGAGAGACCAGAGAGAGACCAGAGAGAGAGAGACCAGAGAGAGAGACCAGAGAGGGACCAGAGAGAGACCAGAGAAAGTCCTGTGATCAGGATGTTTTTAAATGTGTTATAATTGTTTAAAAAAATTAAAAAATAATAAAACAACATCAAAATAGTTCAAATGTAAAAACCATGTCTTTAAATGGTCAATTTGTGTTTGTGTGTGTGTGTCTGTGTGTGTGTGTGTGTCTGTGTGTGTGTGTGTGTGTGTGTGTGTGTGTGTGTGTGTCTGTGTGTGTCTCTGTGTGTGTGTGTGTGTGTGTCTGTGTGTGTGTGTGTGTCTCTGTGTGTGTGTGTCTGTGTGTGTGTGTTTGTGTGTGTGTGTCTCTGTGTGTGTGTGTCTGTGTGTGTGTGTGTATATGTGTGTGTGTGTGTGTATATGTGTGTCTGTGTGTACTTTGAAGAACCTAGAATTCAAAACATATTTTCAGTAGTTTCATACTTCTTTTTTAGTCAAACATAATTCCACATGAGTTCATTCATATTTTGATGCCTTCAGTGTGAAACCGGAGCACCTGGAGGAATCCAACGCAGACACGGGGAGAACATGCACAGGGCCTTCTCTGTGGTCTTAAACCCAGAGCACAGGGCCTTCTCTGTGGTATAAAACCCAGAGCACAGGGCCTTCTCTGTGGTCTTAAACCCAGAGCACAGGGCCTTCTCTGTGGTCTTAAACCCAGAGCACAGGGCCTTCTCTTTAGTCTGCAGGAAACACTTCACACAAACAGCCACGAGATCAGACGATAGTCACTCAAAATATTTGTGTGTGTGTGTGTGTGTGTGTGTGTGCGTGCGTGCGTGTGTGTGTGTATGTAAGTGTGCGCTTCTTGTGCGCGTGCGCGTTTGTTGGGGTGTGCAGACGGTGAGGACTTCCCCAGACAGAGGTAGTGGGGCTGGGGTTAAAATTAAACCTGTATAGGGGTGGGAGAACCAGACTGTCTGACCTGTCTCCCCGGAAAAGAGCTCTCAAAACTGGGCTTTGAGTGGACCGTTCACAGCCTAAGAACCAGGGGTCCTTTTCTACCAGTCTCCAGCGTTCTGGGCAGTGTTCTGGACAGTGTTCTGGACAGCGTTCTGGGCAGTGTTCTGGACAGTGTTCTGGACAGTGTTCTGGACAGCGTTCTGGACAGCGTTCTGGACAGTGTTCTGGGCAGCGTTCTGGACAGCGTTCTGGACAGCGTTCTGGACAGCGTTCTGGACAGTGTTCTGGACAGTGTTCTGGGCAGTGTTCTGGGCAGTGTTCTGGACAGTGTTCTGGGCAGCGTTCTGGGCAGGGTTCTGGACAGCGTTCTGGGCAGCGTTCTGGACAGCGTTCTGGACAGTGTTCTGGACAGTGTTCTGGACAGCGTTCTGGACAGCGTTCTGGACAGTGTTCTGGACAGTGTTCTGGGCAGCGTTCTGGACAACGTTCTGGACAGCGTTCTGGGCAGCGTTCTGGGCAGCGTTCTGGACAGCGTTCTGGACAGTGTGCTGGGCAGCGTTCTGGACAGCTTTCTGGACAGTGTTCTGGACAGTGTTCTGGGCAGCGTTCTGGACAGCTTTCTGGACAGTGTTCTGGACAGTGTTCTGGGTAGCGTTCTGGACAGTGTTCTGGACAGTGTTCTGGGAAGCGTTCTGGGCAGGGTTCTGGACAGCGTTCTGGACAGTGTTCTGGACATTGTTCTGGGCAGCGTTCTGGACAGTGTTCTGGGCAGCGTTCTGGACAGCGTTCTGGACAGCGTTCTGGACAGTGTTCTGGACAGCGTTCTGGACAGTGTTCTGGACAGTGTTCTGGGCAGCGTTCTGGGCAGGGTTCAGGACAGCGTTCTGGACAGTGTTCTGGACAGGGTTCTGGACAGCGTTCTGGACAGCGTTCTGGACAGTGTTCTGGACAGTGTTCTGGGCAGCGTTCTGGACAGCGTTCTGGACAGTGTTCTGGACAGTGTTCTGGACAGTGTTCTGGGCAGTGTTCTGGGCAGCGTTCTGGACAGTGTTCTGGACAGTGTTCTGGACAGTGTTCTGGACAGTGTTCTGGACAGCGTTCTGGACAGTGTTCTGGGCAGCGTTCTGGACAGCGTTCTGGACAGCGTTCTGGACAGCTGGACAGTGTTCTGGACAGTGTTCTGGGCAGCGTTCTGGGCAGGGTTCTGGACAGCGTTCTGGGCAGCGTTCTGGACAGCGTTCTGGACAGTGTTCTGGACAGGGTTCTGGACAGCGTTCTGGACAGCGTTCTGGACAGTGTTCTGGACAGTGTTCTGGGCAGCGTTCTGGACAGCGTTCTGGACAGTGTTCTGGACAGTGTTCTGGGCAGTGTTCTGGACAGTGTTCTGGGCAGTGTTCTGGGCAGCGTTCTGGACAGTGTTCTGGACAGTGTTCTGGGCAGCGTTCTGGAGAGCGTTCTGGACAGCGTTCTGGACAGCGTTCTGGACAGCGTTCTGGACAGCGTTCTGGACAGCGTTCTGGACAGCGTTCTGGACAGTGTTCTGGACAGTGTTCAGGTCTGAACCAGAACCAGGTCTGAAGCAGGTCTGAACCAGGTCTGAAGCAGGTCTGAAGCAGGTCCGAAGCAGGTGTGAAGCAGGTCTGAAGCCCATCTAAACCAGGACTAAACCAGGACGAAACCAGGACTGAAGCCGGTCTAAACCAGGACTTGGTCTGGTCTGGGTCTGGTCTCACTGATCGCTGTCTCTTGAACATGTTCTTATCTCATCATCGTCACTTTTTCTGAAGACGGAAATGTTTTAATCTGATGTAAACGTTTCCACGAACTGCTCATTCTCTTCCATTTAAAGCTCGGGTCTCTAACTTCTCTGTTTCCATAGTAACAGGTCGTTGGTCCGACAGAAAGGGCCTCGTAAATGTGAAATGTTTGAACAAATCAGACCAGAGAGAGACCAGAGAGAGACCAGCGAGAGAGACTAGAGAGAGACCAGAGAGAGACCAGAGAGAGAGACTAGAGAGAGACCAGAGAGAGACCAGAGAGAGACCAGAGAGAGACCAGAGAGAGAGAACAGAGAGAGACCAGAGAGAGACGAGAGAGAGAGACCAGAGAGAGACCAGAGAGAGAGACCAGAGAGAGAGACCAGAGAGAGAGACTAGAGAGAGAGACTAGAGAGAGACCAGAGAGGGACCAGAGAGAGAGACTAGAGAGAGACCAGAGAGAGACCAGAGAGAGAGACCAGAGAGAGAGACCAGAGAGAGAACAGAGAGAGACCAGAGAGAGGGACCAGAGAGACCAGAGAGAGAGACTAGAGAGAGACCAGAGAGAGACCAGAGAGAGACCAGAGAGAACCCAGAGAGAGACCAGAGAGAGACCAGAGAGAGAGACTAGAGAGAGACCAGAGAGAGAGACCAGAGCGAGACCAGAGAGAGACCAGAGAGAGACCAGAGAGAGACCAGAGAGAGAGACTAGAGAGAGACCAGAGAGAGAGACCAGAGCGAGACCAGAGAGAGACCAGAGAGAGACCAGAGAGAGAGACCAGAGAGAGACCAGAGAGAGAGACTAGAGAGAGACCAGAGAGAGAGACCAGAGCGAGACCAGAGAGAGACCAGAGAGAGACCAGAGAGAGACCAGAGAGAGACCAGAGAGAGAGAGACCAGAGAGAGACCAGAGAGAGAGAGACCAGAGAGAGACCAGAGAGAGACCAGAGAGAGAGACTAGAGAGAGACCAGAGAGAGACCAGAGAGAGAGACCAGAGAGAGACCAGAGAGAGACCAGAGAGAGACAAGAGAGAGAGGGAGACCAGAGAGAGACCAGAGAGAGAGACTAGAGAGAGAGACCAGAGAGAGACCAGAGAGAGACCAGAGAGAGAGACCAGAGAGGGACCAGAGAGAGACCAGAGGGAGACCAGAGGGAGACCAGAGAGAGACCAGAGAGAGACCAGAGAGAGACCAGAGAGAGACCAGAGAGAGACCAGAGAGAGAGAGAGACCAGAGAGAGACCAGAGAGAGACCAGAGAGGGACCAGAGAGAGAGACCAGAGAGAGACCAGAGAGAGACCAGAGAGAGACCAGAGAGAGAGACCAGAGAGAGACCAGAGAGAGACCAGAGAGAGACCAGAGAAAGTCCTGTGATCAGGATGTTTTTAAATGTGTTATAATTGTTTAAAAAAATTAAAAAATAATAAAACAACATCAAAATAGTTCAAATGTAAAAACCATGTCTTTAAATGGTCAATTTGTGTTTGTGTGTGTCTCTGTGTGTGTGTGTGTGTGTGTGTGTGTGTGTGTGTGTGTGTGTGTGTGTGTGTGTGTGTGTGTGTGTGTCTGTGTGTGTGTGTGTGTGTGTGTGTGTGTGTGTGTGTGTGTGTGTGTCTGTGTGTGTGTGTGTGTGTGTGTGTGTGTGTGTGTGTGTGTGTGTGTGTGTGTGTGTGTGTGTGTGTGTGTGTGTGTGTGTGTGTGTATATGTGTGTGTGTGTCTGTGTGTACTTTGAAGAACCTAGAATTCAAAACATATTTTCAGTAGTTTCATACTTCTTTTTTAGTCAAACATAATTCCACATGAGTTCATTCATATTTTGATGCCTTCAGTGTGAAACCGGAGCACCTGGAGGAATCCAACGCAGACACGGGGAGAACATGCACAGGGCCTTCTCTGTGGTCTCAAACCCAGAGCACAGGGCCTTCTCTGTGGTCTTAAACCCAGAGCACAGGGCCTTCTCTGTGGTCTAAAACCCAGAGGACAGGGCCTTCTCTGTGGTCTTAAACCCAGAGCACAGGGCCTTCTCTGTGGTCTTAAACCCAGAGCACAGGGCCTTCTCTGTGGTCTTAAACCCAGAGCACAGGGCCTTCTCTGTGGTCTTAAACCCAGAGCACAGGGCCTTCTCTGTGGTCTTAAACCCAGAGCACAGGGCCTTCTCTGTGGTCTTAAACCCAGAGCACAGGGCCTTCTCTGTGGTCTTAAACCCAGAGCACAGGGCCTTCTCTGTGGTCTTAAACCCAGAGCACAGGGCCTTCTCTGTGGTCTTAAACCCAGAGCACAGGGCCTTCTCTGTGGTCTTAAACCCAGAGCACAGGGCCTTCTCTGTGGTCTGCAGGACACACGTCACACAAACAGCCACGAGATCAGACGATAGTCACAGGAAGTCACTCAAAATATTTGTGTGTGTGTGTGCGTGCGTGCGTGCGTGCGTGTGTGTGTGTGTGTGTGTGTGTGTGTGTGTGTGTGTGTGTGCGTGCGTGTGTGTGTGTGTATGTAAGTGTGCGCTTCTTGTGCGCATGCGCCTGTGCGTTTGTTGGGGTGTGCAGACGGTGAGGACTTCCCCAGACAGAGGTAGTGGGGCTGGGGTTAAAATTAAACCTGTATAGGGGTGGGAGAACCAGACTGTCTGACCTGTCTCCCCAGAAAAGAGCTCTCAAAACTGGGCTTTGAGTGGACCGTTCACAGCCTAAGAACCAGGGGTCCTTTTCTACCAGTCTCCAGCGTTCTGGGCAGTGTTCTGGACAGTGTTCTGGACAGTGTTCTGGGCAGCGTTCTGGACAGTGTTCTGGACAGTGTTCTGGGCAGCGTTCTGGGCAGGGTTCTGGACAGCGTTCTGGACAGTGTTCTGGACAGTGTTCTGGGCAGCGTTCTGGACAGCGTTCTGGACAGTGTTCTGGACAGTGTTCTGGGCAGTGTTCTGGACAGTGTTCTGGGCAGCGTTCTGGGCAGGGTTCTGGACAGCGTTCTGGACAGTGTTCTGGACAGTGTTCTGGACGGTTCTGGGCAGGGTTCTGGACAGGGTTCTGGACAGCGTTCTGGACAGTGTTCTGGACAGTGTTCTGGGCAGCGTTCTGGACAGCGTTCTGGGCAGCGTTCTGGATAGTGTTCTGGACAGTGTTCTGGACAGTGTTCTGGACAGCGTTCTGGACAGTGTTCTGGGCAGCGTTCTGGACAGTGTTCTGAGCAGCGTTCTGGACAGTGTTCTGGACAGTGTTCTGGACAGCGTTCTGGACAGTGTTCTGGGCAGCGTTCTGGACAGCGTTTTGGGCAGCGTTCTGGATAGTGTTCTGGACAGCGTTCTGGACAGTGTTCTGGACAGCGCTCTGGACAGTGTTCTGGGCAGCGTTCTGGACAGTGTTCTGGGCAGCGTTCTGGACAGCGTTCTGGACAGTGTTCTGGACAGCGCTCTGGACAGTGTTCTGGGCAGCGCTCTGGACAGTGTTCTGGACAGCGCTCTGGACAGTGTTCTGGGCAGCGTTCTGGACAGTGTTCTGGACAGTGTTCTGGACAGTGTTCTGGGCAGCGTTCTGGACAGTGTTCTGGACAGTGTTCTGGGCAGCGTTCTGGACAGTGTTCTGGACAGTGTTCTGGACAGTGTTCTGGACAGTGTTCTGGGCAGCGTTCTGGACAGCGTTCTGGGCAGCGTTCTGGATAGTGTTCTGGACAGTGTTCTGGACAGTGTTCTGGACAGCGTTCTGGACAGTGTTCTGGGCAGCGTTCTGGACAGTGTTCTGGGCAGCGTTCTGGGCAGCGTTCTGGACAGCGTTCTGGGCAGCGTTCTGGACAGTGTTCTGGACAGTGTTCTGGACAGTGTTCTGGACAGCGTTCTGGACAGTGTTCTGGGCAGCGTTCTGGACAGTGTTCTGGGCAGCGTTCTGGACAACGTTCTGGGCAGCGTTCTGGATAGTGTTCTGGACAGCGTTCTGGACAGTGTTCTGGGCAGCGTTCTGGACAGTGTTCTGGACAGTGTTCTGGACAGTGTTCTGGACAGTGTTCTGGGCAGCGTTCTGGACAGTGTTCTGGGCAGCGTTCTGGATAGTGTTCTGGACAGCGTTCTGGACAGTGTTCTGGACAGCGTTCTGGACAGTGTTCTGGGCAGCGTTCTGGACAGTGTTCTGGGCAGTGTTCTGGACAGTGTTCTGGACAGCGTTCTGGACAGTGTTCTGGACAGCGTTCTGGACAGTGTTCTGGGCAGCGTTCTGGGCAGCGTTCTGGACAGTGTTCTGGGCAGCGTTCTGGACAGCGTTCTGGGCAGCGTTCTGGACAGTGTTCTGGACAGTGTTCTGGGCAGCGTTCTGGACAGCGTTCTGGGCAGCGTTCTGGATAGTGTTCTGGACAGTGTTCTGGACAGTGTTCTGGACAGCGTTCTGGACAGTTCTGGGCAGCGTTCTGGGCAGCGTTCTGGACAGCGTTCTGGGCAGCGTTCTGGACAGCGTTCTGGACAGTGTTCTGGACAGTGCACGAGCAGCGCCTCACGAGCAGCGCCTCACGAGCAGCGCCTCACGAGCAGCGCCTCACGAGCAGCGCGTCTTCGAGCGTTTTGCGCGTTTGGTGCGGCGCGTTTTGAGATTTCGAGCGTCTTGACAGGCGTGAAGCGCGTGACCCGCGGATGACGCTCGAGTTGAACAATGTTTAACTTTTCGGGAGAAGACGAGAGCGTCTACCAATCAGGAGCCTCCTCCAACAGTGACGTGGTAACGCATTTCTCGGCAGGACCGAGGGGGACGACGACACAACAGCTATGGAGGACAAGCTGTGTGGTTAGCCCATGAGCCCTGCAGACTATACCCACCGTGACATGGAGGAGGGCTAGTGAGGAGGTGTCTCTGGTCAGTTATTTAAACTTTTCACAATCACTAATACTTCCCTGAACAAAATCTGTAATGTCATCTTTAGGGAGAAACAAACCCACAGATTACAGCTACACAGGGGAAACAGTCCATGGAGACAGCAGCTGTAGTATGCTAACATGTAGCATGCTAACATGTAGCATGCTAACATGTAGTATGCTAACATGTAGTATGCTAACATGTAGCATGCTAACATGTAGCATGCTAACATGTAGTATGCTAACATCTAGTATGCTAACATGTAGCATGCTAACATGTAGCATGCTAACATGTAGTATGCTAACATGTAGCATGCTAACATGTAGTATGCTAACATGTAGCATGCTAACATGTAGTATGCTAACATGTAGTATGCTAACATGTAGCATGCTAACATGCTACATGTTAGCTGCTCAGCTGTCGGGTTCGTGCCGGGCTCGGGCTTCTTTTTTTTTTAAATATATGTTTCTTTTTTATTATTATTATAATTATTTTTAAATTATTTTTATACATAATGATATATATATTAATAACAATGTCTGTTGATTGACAACAAGTTATCAAAAATAGTTAATATATTAATGACACCGTAACCAGCGTGTCCTACAGCAGCAGCGAGCCGTGAACGCATCATCCCCGTGTCTCCTGCTGCTGTGGTCAACAGCGAACAGGAACAATAGTAGAAATGGATCAAGTGGAGACAAAACAAATTCAAAAGTGGAGACTAAACTTGCAATTGGAAGGTGAGTGCGTACAACGGGAAATCAGATGTGTCGGGTTCTGTCGGGCTCGGGCCTGTTATACAGCGTTCATTGGTCGGGCTTATACGGGCTCGGGCTTAACATTAGCGGGCTCGGGCCGGGTCGGGCTTCATTTTTCAGGCCCGAACGAAACTCTAGTTCAGACCAAACGCAATTTCGGCGGCCAAAGCGGCGGGTCTACATTGACACAACATGGGGGACGCGCGCCAAGGAGCGGCGAGAGATCACGCGGCGCGATTCGCGCGGCCAGAGCGGCGCGAATTTGAGCGTTTCGCGCGATTCGCGCAGCGAGTTTTGAGATGTCAATTGTTTTGACGCGCGTTTCGCGCGTTTCGCGCGATTCGCGCGATTCGCGCGATTCGCGCTTCCAACGCGGCCGCCGCTAGAGTTGAACAATGTTGAACTTTTTGGGAGAATTCGCGTGTGCCGACCAATCAGGAGCTTTCTCCTACAGTGACGTAGTGACGCATTTCACTACCGGGAAAACACTAGTAGATGACAGCTATGGAGGACACATTAATAGCTCAGGTCGGTGCTCATTCTGAGCTATATAACACTGCGGACCACAGCTACCGGGACCGAAATAAAAAGGAGCTTGCTTGGAGGAGGGTTAGCGAGGTGGTTGGTGTCTCGGGTAAGTTATTTTAACTTTTCACAGTTGTAAATATTTCCCCGCGAAAAAAACTACTACTTTCCCGCTTACGAGTTGATGTGTTTATTCAGTGGAAGTTTGCAAAAAGCGGTGGAAGAATCTGAGGGACACATATGCTAAGGAGAGCAGGAAGGAGAAGGAGAAGGTGAAGAAGAGTGGTGCAGAAGCAGGGAAAGGCCAGACGTGGAAGTACCTTGTGGTCATGTCCTTCCTCGAGCCCTACATCACTCCCCGTGACAGCTCCGGGAACATGCCAAGGCGAAGGGCCGAGGAGGAGCAGACCACAGGGTACAACCACCCAGAAGAAGAGCCAGAGGAAGCAGCAGCAGCAGGGCTGTCAGGTGCTGAAGATCGGTGTCATGCAGCAAACAGAGACCTCCAACAGTTGGAAAAAATACATTTCTTTCCTTTCTATTATATATTATGCATTTCTTTTAATGCTTTCTTAACATCATGGCCAGGTGAAAATAGGCATTGGCTATTTTCAAACCAGGATAGATCTTGATCATGTGTTGTGTTAAATTTCACTTTTCCCTTTCATATGAACAAATCATTTAAATGTACATAATAATGTACATTATTATGTACATATAAATGTCATAAGCGCAATGTACACATGATATGAAATAATTGTATTTCTTGTTTTCTTCTGGCGCAGATACTGCCACCACCACACAAGGTGAGACATCTTGGCCTGAGCTGCCTGAGCTGCTGCTGCTGCTGCTGCTTCTTCTTCCTCAGCCGGTTCTTCTTCTGTGAGGGCTGGACCTTCCCCTGCTTCTGCACCTACAGGTGTGGCTTTTTTAATCATTGTTTTATTTTTATTCTTATTACAGGACTGTTCATATAAACAAAATGTTACTGCATAATATGCCAAAATTACCCAAGGGCTGTTACATCAGTGTAGACGACAAATTTACAGAGAAACGACAAGATGTCAAGGCACTACAGGTGGAAAGAAGCTTTGGTCTGATGTAACACATCTTCCCTCTTTCTTCGATAAAAACATACTACTGAAATACCTTATGCTATAAAAGTACTGAACAAATACATGCAATGGTTGCCACAAGATGGCAGCTATCCTGTTTAATGCAGACAATAGAGTATTACTTTTTTAACAGCCATTGCGAAATACACTTCAGAGATATTAGTTTGTAACTGTCGAAATTTGTGCTTGTGTGAGTAATTTCATTGATAACTGCAATGTTCAAGTTAATTGTAACACAAACACACAACTTAAAAGTGTTTTACATGTGTTTAACTATGTCTACACACTCTGGCTTTAATACAGATATTATTTGCTCTCTTCATTTTGCTTTTTTGAAATACATGTTCCACTTTTTAACACTGTGATTGCCCTGTGTTCTTTGAAGGCCCACCAAGGAAGAGGGCTCGGAAGAGGCCCACGTCCGTAGAGCCGCCAACAGAGTGGGAGCGGGAGCTGCTGGAGACTCTACGGACCAAAGCAGCCGCACCGCCCCACTACACAGAAGACCATCAGTTCCTGCTCTCTCTCTTTCCTCTCCTGCAAAGGGTGGCACCAGAGTCAAAAGAATTTGTGAAATTCAAAATGTACCAACTTTTATATGAAAGCAGCACCGTTCTGCTTAATTTGGAACCATTGGCCAGAACAGACAGTTTTTTGACCTAAGGTGACACCTTTTGCAGGGGAGGAAACAGACATGTGTCCCTTTCCTCTTCCACCGCACCTCCTCCAAGCAAGCTCCTTTTCATTTGTTTATATGTACATTTCATTTATTTTTCATTGTTTGTTCCTTTTTTTATAAAGAAAATATTTTTCAAACCTCATGTGTTCTACTTCAAGCCAACCATTACTACCTTTCATATAATACTGACAGAAAATGCTATTCTATATTTGTACATTTACTTTTATAAGAGCTGACTGGGTTTTATAGAAGATGGAATAACTAACACTTAAAGAGCGATACAGTAGTTGACAGTATTTTTTATTCATTTCCCCTTTTACTGTTTTAACAACCTTGTAATTACGGAAAAGCTTGAATGTGCATATGATTAACCTGAAGTTGGAGTGGAGTCGCAGTGGAGTCTGGCAGTCATTACCTAGAAACAGAAGGTATACAGGTGAATAGAATAGTGTAAATCAATATGGGTTTGGACTATGGCCAGAAAAAATGTAAAGAATTTCATATTCAAGAGGCTCAGCACATTATATGTTAGGAATGAAGTTAGGCTCTTTGTATTTTGTGGGTGGCTCTGAAAAGATCCGTTGTGGGTCAGTCTTGTGGTGGACATGACTACTCTGTGGGCTGCCACGGCAGTGCTCCCTCCTCACTGAAGTGGGCCATGAACACTTTCCTTATGTCCACTGCTTCTCTGGTCGCGTTGTTGGCGGCCATCCGCTGCACGCCTGGAAGTGGTTCTTCACCGGCAGCAGCTCCCCTCGGTGCAGGAACCTGCCCATCTCCAGCCATCCTCATGAAGTTGTGAAGGACACAAGTGGCCTTCACACACTTCTCCACAACTTCTGGGGAGACTTCCAGGTGACGGCGAACCACTCTCCACTGCGCAGACTAAATCCCAAATGCATCCTCCACCACTAACCGGGCCCGGGAGAGGCGGTAGTTGAAGGTGCGCTGCTCTGGGGTAAGGCCACCACGTCCAGGGAAAGGGCGCATTAAGTTGCGGCGCAGTGGAAAGGCCTCATCTGCCACGAACACATGGGGCTGGGGTCCTCTGTGGTCAGCTCCAGGTATGCACTGGTCAGGAGGCAGGTCGAGTGTGCCCTTGCGCAGAGCCTCACCAAAGGCAGAGTTGGACATGATGCCTCCATCGCTGGATCTGCCGTACCCTCCCACATCAATCACCCTGAACCTGTACTGGGCATCCACTACAGCCAGGAGCACAAGGGAATGGTGCCCCTTGTAATCAAAAAACATGGACCCAGAGTTGGGGGGTGCCTTCACAGCCACATGCTTCCCATCAATGGCCCCACAGCACAGAGGGAAGTTCCATCGGACCTCAAAGTCCTGCGCTATGGACCTCCACTCCTCTGCTCCAGGCACAGCCATGAACTCCTCCACGAGGCAGTCCCAGATGGCTGCCACCACATCTGGGATGAGCATGGAGACGGTGGATATGCCCACTCTGAAGCTCCCCGCAATGGTCCTGTAGGAGTCCCCAGTGGCAAGAAACCTGCAATTACAAAATGATATGAACATATTTATCACAATTACATTCATAAAGCCTAGCCTAGCCGTGGCTGCTGCTGTCTCGCCTCCTTTCAGATACGCTCTCTTTATTCAAGGCTAGGTTTAAAACAGTCCTCTTTAGTTTAGCATATGGCTAGGAAGGTAAGACTCAGGGAAGGCTAAACTCCTCAGACTGTCAGT